CCCGCCCCCCCCGCCGGCGCTGCCCGCCCTGGGGAGGGGGAGGGGGAGGGGCTGCACGCGTGGCCGCCTGCGCGCGTGCGCCAAGCTGGATGGGGCCCCGTCTGACTTCTGGGCCGGTATGGAGGAGGGCTGTGCGCGCACGTGGGGCGCCACACAGAGCGGAGGGGCCGGACAGCGTGTCCACCTGCCGGTGTATTGTGCGCACGCATGTGTGTGCATGCGTGTGCACGGGGTCGGGGTCCGGTGTGTGCACGCGGGTGCGCCTGCATGTGTGTTCTCACCGGGGAGGGGGCAGGGTGTTGCACGCCCACGTGTGCACAAGAGGGAGCCCGGGTATGCGGTGTGCATGCACAGATGGTGGGCAGGTGGGGTGTTTGCACTGCTGGATGTGGACACCCAGGAGAGGAGGCCAGGCTTGGGCGCACGTGCGTAGAGCCCGGCCCTGGCCAGACCCGGGGGGCCTGCGCACGCATGCCCGGCCTCTGCCCAGATCCCCACGGGCTCCTTGCGTCCTCGGTACGCGCGCAAAAAACGAGGTGACTACAGAAGCAGTCTAATCCCGGAGCAGGCCAGGCCCTGGAAACAGACCGCCCCAAACCCCCTACTGCCAAGGCCAGGGCGGGATTTAGCGCCAGGTCCTAGAGCCCGGCAGAGGGCTGTCCTTGGGAGTGGAGTCCAAAGCTCAGGGCTGCATCAGCGGCCATGTCGGTGCCAGCGTAATTACCCGGCCGAAGGCTTAATCGCACAGATGGAGCCTTGAAGCCAAAGTGCTGGCAGGGCGCACCCAGCGCGCAGGGCTCCCGGGCTGAGTGCGCTCTGAAGCATCTAATCAGCTTTGGCTTCTTGGAATGGCAGGGGCTCCGCCTCTGTGCAGGTGAGGGCTGAACCTGGATGAGGACATGGATGGACCGCGCTGCAAACTCTTGCCCAGGACCTCGCTCGTGTGCCCTGGGCTGGACGGCATCCCGTGCTGTGGACATGCTGCCCACTTCTTCCCAGTCCTCTCCCAGAGCTCTCTTCTGGGCCAAATTTGAATACTTGGCCTTAGCAAAGGGTAAGCCCCTCCCAGCCCTTGGGCCAAGTGCAATGGGTGGCCAGGCTCTCTCAAGTCCTGGGGGGCATCAGGGAACAGGCTGGGGTCAGAGTGGGGCCTACACCCCTCCCCTCCTGGCTCAGTGCTGGGAACCACCTGGTTCCGACTGGTGGCCAGCCATCTGGGCCACCCTGTGCGGTGGCCTGAGTGTGCAGGGACCTCACCTGGCTTCTCGAGAAAAAGGTGGAAAGTTGTTTTGCCTTTGCACACTCACGCTCCACAGAAAGCCCCTTTCCTGTACAAACCGGATAGTAACTGAATTCCTCCTAAGATTTTTGCTTAAGGACCCAAGTACGTTTAGCCACTGCCTTGCCTTGGAATCTCGGTAGAACTGCTGAAGCGCAGGCTTCTCGGGGAAGCCCAGAGCTCCCTAGCACCTGTGCCCTGCCCCATGGAGCACGTGTGCGCCGTGGAGAAACAACTCCTTCCGGGACCTGCTCAGCACCCACCGTGAGCGCCTGGCTGGATGCCGCCTTCTACCGCCACCTGGCAGGCCCGGAAGGGTCCCCACAACTGAAAATGCCCCATGCTGTGCTGTAATAGCATACAGTGACCCCTGGTGTTCCGGAACTGCGCTCTGGTTGGGGCGTGGCATGGCCTCCCCTATCCCTGCCCCACTGCATGGTGCCTTCAAGAAAAGAAGCTGGGGGGGCCAGCAGGTGGCATGGTGGCCAAGACACTGGACTCCCACGCGGCCCAAGCCATGGACCTGACAGCTTGCTTTCTCACTTTTCTTTGTTTTTCTCTGGTGAGTACCTGTACCGTAGCAAATTGAAGAATGGTAATGATAAATAATTCTTTAGAAAAAGGAAAGAAAATTACACTGTGTGCCCAAAACCCCAAGAGGAGGATGGAGAAGGGATTACAGCATGGCCACCACCCCTCTGCGTGCTTTCCCACTCTCCCTCTCTCCCGCTGTCTCCCCAGCAAGCACACAGAGCCTGTAATAACTGTTTAAAAGGAGAGGGTCTCCCAGTGCTTCTTTAATTCTGAATCTGTCGACTGAATATCTGATCGGCCTTTGGTTCCCTGCCCCCCACCAGGTGACCATGGCATTATGGGAGGCCAAGGAGGGACCAGGCTCCTAGAGCCCAGGGGGGGTTAGAGGTGACACTGCCGAGTGTGGACAGTGGTGCCCTCACTCAGGATCAAGTGTCGGTGAGGGCATCCTCAGGGAACTACGCCCGTCAGTGCCGTGAGAAGCACTCGATTGGTCGTCCTCACCCTCCCTCGCTAGACCATGCTTCCAGGCCCCACAGTACCTGAGGGTGGGAAGCCCTGGTTGGAGTCCCAGGGCCCCCTCTCCGGAGCACGGTCCCCTGGGGCGCCCCCATCTCTGAATCCTCCCGTGCACTCAGCCTGAGCCTGCCTGAGGGGCTTGGGCCGCAACGCTGAAACGGCGCCCGCTGCTCCCGGGAGCTGACCCAGTGTCCCCGCCGCCCACCGCTGGCAGCAAGCAGCCCTGCTTTTCTGAACGGCCTCGGCATTGGCCCGGGCCCCTCTGTCCGCTGCCTCAGCCCACCCCGGCTGGGCTTGCACCCAGATGACCTCTTCAGGAACTTCCTGGGTCTCTTCCCCTTCACAGACCCCTCTCTGTCACCCCGGGCGGGGCACCTGGGTGCAGGTCTGCTTCTAAGCCCGACCCAACCCTCGGGGAGTGGCACGGGTCACTTCCCGCTGCCTGTGGCCTCACCCTGCAGACTCACACCAGGGTTAGAGGCCGCCCGTTGTACAGCTGGGATACAGGACATCGGCTCCCTGGGTTCAGTACCAGAGACGGGCAAGCAGGAGAAGCAGAGGCATGGGGCACTCGGCACACGGGACGGGAGGGGGCGGGGGCACAGGCCAGCAGCCACCAGGCCCCCCGCGCAGTCAGCAGGATGTCACAGCGTGGCTCTGGAGGGGCTGTGGCCGCGTGCCCAGGCCTGCACACATAGGCGGGAAGGACCCTCAGGAAGTGTTCTCAGCAGCCCATGGCCTAAGGACAGCCTCGCAACGGCCCTGGGCTTCCTACCTAAACACAAAGCCCGAGTGCACAGGCACGGCGGGGGGGGCCAGCTCCCCCCCCCCC